AGTTTAAATGGCTTAATGATGAGTCTCCTACGCAACGACATGAAATAGATAAATACAGAGTGAAGTAATAAATTCTATATTTTAATTAACTTATTTAAAAATAGGATATTTAAATATTTATTGCGATAGTTTAAAATGTATATTCAATTATTTTATAGCTCATTAAGTTTTAAATTTTATTATTTCATGGTACCTGTAATTTATACATGTCTTTAATGATACATTTAATGAGTGATTTATTTCATTAATATTTATTTGATATCGTGTTTCATCAATTCCATGTTATATATATACATTTATCTATTTCAGAATTGATAAATAATAATTCTATCCCCTTAAGCCATGTTAGAGCAGTCACTATCCAATAAAAATAAATTCTGATCTATTTCAACTCAGAAATAGGTAGTATAAATTAGCTGGGAAGAAGTCCTGTGAGTAGAAGGCCTGTGAAACTTACCTTACCTTCGTAGGTTTGCAGTTTTACTACTGCTTCCAATTTCAGAACGTAATGGTATTATAAATACTAAGCATCACCTAGAACTTCTTAGAAACCTATAGAACTTTCTCCGGGACGTATTAACTTGGTTGGTTAGCACCTATAACAAGACAGAGCTTTACTCACTGCAATCCCTGAAAAAAGTTGCAATAAAAACTTTATTACAGTTTCAGCTAAAGGAAATACAGAAATGACCTCCATCTGTAGCACAACCTGATTCTCCCAGAAGCAGCTGCCCTTGGAGAGTGAAACCTTAGCCCCTTCCCCATTCATTATGTCCTGTCCAAACACTTTACCAGAACTCAGAGGCTGATGTAATTATTTTATTTTGTAGTTACGGGGAAGTGAACAATGAGCCACTGGCAGAAACAAGATGTGAATGTTTTTTAGTTTGTGAAATTATTTTTTATAGATATATTTTAACTCCTCCCTGTCTGTATACAAAAATAGTTGTAAGGGAGAAATATAACAGTACATGCTTTGTGGATTAATGGAGGCAATGTAATGCAATAGGATGTAATCTCCTCTGCTGAAAAAACAGGGTTTGTCATAATTGAAGGCAATATTAATACAGATAATTTATCTAGTTACATTTCCAACTAATTCTAACTTCTAACATGTAAATATCCAGTTTTCTCTAAATATGAGAAAAGTGGCTTGGGCCTCAGCATCACACTAGCTATCTACAAGATGCTCCTGTATTACAAACAGGAGCAGGCTAGGGTTCAATTTCAGCCTGTGGAGTCACCTTTAATTAAGTGTCATACAAGCAGAATTTTAACATGAATACATGCAGTATAAGAGTGTATTTTCAGCTCAGCTAAATTAGTTCATGTAGATAAAGGTTTTAGATTTTAAGCTTATTAAGGTTAACTAAGCGAGCAGCTTATCATAAAACTAAGCAATTAAATAGTAGCAAAAAGTTAGATGCTGAAATATAAGTTTTAGACTAATGATCTTTACTAAGTTTTTATTTTTTTTATGTAGAAAGCCACAGGTTTGACTACAGTCCTCGAGGCACTGTTTTTTAAGGTTTCTCATCTACTTTGTTAGTGTGGTCATTCAGGATTTTAAAATTGCCCACACAATTTAGAGTTCACATACCTTGAACTTCTTTATATGTTCAGCTCCAAACTTTAATCTTATTTGTTAAGACTCCTGACAATTTCTCTGATTTGATTATGTAATTCCTTCTTTTCTACTCTTCTTTTTAGAGATCATAATAGAGCCCATTTTTGGTTTACTTCTGCTCTATCAGCCCTCCCATTAGCTTTGAACAGGTTCCCAGTTGCTGTTAAAGACTATGTATATGATCAGGGTGATGTGCAATTTAAGATTTTTATCACATATTTTCATGTTGGCAAAAACGTTTACCTTAATGTCATGTTTTGTGGCAAACTGCCAGCCTAGCCAGCCAGATTGATAGAAAATGTACACAGCATACCAGTCTTGTTAGAGCTGGTATAGCTCCATTTCACAGGGTCAGCCTCATCAGGTTGCAACTAATTATATAACGTGTGACGCAAAAACTTCAACATGCTCTTTTTTTTTTTTGTAATTTTGTAGTCCGTAACACATAAAGGCAAGAATAGGAAAAATATGTCCATTTTAAAATGAAATGACACTAAAGCCGTCCATTGATGAGGTTTTAATGTTGGAACAATCACTTAGGATATAAAAAAATCTGAAAAAGAAATTCCATTATGGTAGTCATCTTGCTCTTATGCTAGCAGTAAAGCAGAAAGGCGCTGAGAGTCACACATCAAGTCCCGCCTTCTGTGCTGTGATTGGTCTGGACAGATCTGGCTGGAGTTAATGATGGTTTACCAGACAGAATTACGCCCTGTGTAATTCATTCTGGCTAGCCAGACTAGTAAAGTGCATACTTTATTTTTATAGCATCTCCAGAATCACCACTAATCACTTGGCTGCTTCTTTGACAATCTCTGGCTCAGGCTTTCCAGTTTGCATTTGTGCCATACTCCTTTTTTTTGGAGCAGGATTTGTGTTCTTTTTGAAGTGTTGCATGAAATTTTCAATGCTTGGGTCATTGATTTTTAACTAAACTCTGCTTGAATGTCTTCCAAACCCTTTGGCACATCTACTGTGTTATTTCCCCTTTCTGATGCAGTTTCTTAAACCTCTGAGACCACCACAGAACAAGTGAATTTGAGTAGTGATTTACCTTCAAACAGATGGGCCATATTAACAAATTAGGGTATTTTGAATCATCTTGATTGCACAGAATTTTATCAAACTGGTCAAAGTAAAAGGAAGCAAATTCAAATGGAAGTAACATTTCAGATTTTTGTTTTTATAAAATTGAAAAAAATTATTTTTTTAATCTGCAATTAGGTAAAGCTTAATAACATCATAAATGAATTAACTTTGTAGTTAAACTGGGATTAGATGTAACAAAACATTCCTCAGCTGATAAGTTTTATAAAGCTCGGCCTCTTTCCTGTGCTTGATGATTTTCAGTTATAGTAAGATTGCTCGAACCTTTTTCCAGTTTCCTATAAGCAGCCGCACATCCAATTAAACCTATTCTGATCTGAAAGGTATATTTTGTCAAGCAGGTCCAGACAGTGCAGTTACATAGTAGACAACATATTTATTATATGTGTCATAATTTTAATATTATATTTATGCATTTATTATTTTTTTTAAGAACATGGTTTTTGATCAGTGAATGTGTTAAGAAGATAAAATGAGGAAATACTTGGGTGTGTTAGACCTAATTTTCTAAATAATGGGAAAATCATAGCAGAGGAGTATAAACTGAACTATTCTTAGCCGGTTTACTCTTTTTTTCAAGGGTCTGAAAAAACTGCTGTAATTGAAGTGCAGAGGGAAAAGAAACACCGTAGATGCATGTGTTATCAGTGGCTCCAGGCCCTATAATCTGCCTTTCCTGAGAAAGATGTCTGTGAACCTGTGTGCAGCCATCTGAATAAGTACCTGCTCTCATACTGTCTGTTTGACATTTCCTGCCTGCTTCCCTATCTCATGTTTAGGTCATAAATGATCTCCCTATAGATACAGATTTCAACACACTCCTAATCCTCATATTCCTCACTTTCACTGTTGTTTGCCTTATTGCTGATTGCTTTCAGATATACTATCTCTTGGGAAATTGAAAATGTGACTTTGACTATTTGATCACTGGTGGTGCTACCACCCAACAGTGCTGTTTTTTTCTTGGTATTTTAGGGTGAGACTGACTAAATAACTGCTTAGCAAAAATAATGACTTGCATAGCATGACATGCTATAATCTGATTGAAGAAAAAAACATATTTTTGACATTATTACTATAAATATTCATGCTTCCCCTTTCCTTCAAATAACAACTTAGTCAGGGTCTGTTGTAGAAAGGTTAAGGGTAAAGCAAGATATCCAATAACTGTGATTGCTTTGATTTAGGTTGTCTTTTGGAAGGAAAGTTCTCAGCAGACTGAGGCAGACAGAGTGAGAGTTACCAACTGCACAGCTCTGCTCTCCGGTTTGACAAGCAGTACAGTCTACCTGATCTCAGTCAGAGCCCAGAACAGTGCCGGATTTGGACCATCCAGCCCTTCTTTCACTGTCACCACCAAGAAACCACGTGAGTCTGCACAAAAAAAAAAACAAAACAGGGTATTTTACTGTCTATTTTAATGTTCTTTGCAGTTTTATAATAAATGGTATCTTATTTCCAAGATTTAATTCTTTCACTAGCTACGTTTACATGGACACAATCTGATTGAAGGCCTGATCAGTTAAATAATGTGTCCAGTTGAGAGAGATGTTTTTTTTTATCCTCATTCCGATTAATATCCATGTAGATATCCATTCAGATCAGTCTACCTTTCCCCACTTATTCTGCTAGTTGCCTATTTCTGACAGTCTACGGACAACAGGCAGGGTAAACCATGAACAGGTTGCCAGTCTGTTGCAGGCAACTTGTAGACAGACAAAGACATACAACCATGCACACACACTCACATCTAGAGTAGCAGCCATTCAAAATTGCCATTGCCAGTCAAATGCCAGCCGAAAAGCAGCCCATTTCCCTGCAACTCCAAGAAAAATCCCCTCCAACTTCCAGCCACTGGAGTAAACCCAGCCTTCTCCGGGGCAAATCATGACAGAAAAATATTTTAGAACAAAGATTGATGTATAAAAAGGAATTGTAGGAGACCAGCCAAGGGCCCATCAAGTAAAGGGGGAACATTTTGAATGGCTATTACTATAAAGACAATTTAGAGAGGCCAATTAACCTACTGTAACAGTACCCGGAGACAATCCACGCATGTACAGGGAGAACATGCTAACCCCTTGCAGAAAGACCCCGGGCCAGGAATCACACCCAAAACCTTCTTGCTGCAAGTGACAGTGCTACAAACTGCACCACAGGGCATCCCATTCACAACTTTGAATAAAGTTCAATTAATTTTATTTATATAGAGTGGATTCAAAACACATGTATTCCCAAGCCAAATTACAGAGACGGTACTGCTAGATTATTTAGGAAAACCAGTTGACTACATCCAGTCATTGACTCGCAAGACATGCTCTACCTGGATGAACCTGTGAACGACCTTCACTTGCATAATGTCGATAACCCTTTAGCAATCCCTCACAACGAATATGAAAGTCGAGAGGAAAACTCCCTTTTAACAGGATGAAACCTCCTGCAGCTAGGCTCAATGTTAGCGGGCATCTGCCGAGGCTGACTGAGGCTGAAGAAGACAGAAGCAGCCATAGAAAAAGAAGCAGAGACACAAAAGTTAATTGTTAACTATCTCCACAGGTGGCTCTGTCTGAGAAAGACACAACCAGGGAGATGAGCTCCAAGCCATTTCTGCTAGAAACA